GGCGGGTACGGGGACGGGGGCGGGGCGAGTATTAACATCCCCGTCCCCACCCCCGCCCCCGCCCCCGATTTTATCAATCGGGAAAAATCCGAACCCGAACCCGAACTTGATAAATACAGGTTTTTTCCATCCAAATCGGGTGGGTTCGGGCGAGTACCCATGGGGGCGGGTTAGATTGCCATGCCTACTTGCAAAACACACACTGGGACACCAAATAGAAGGAAATGAAAGTGAAAAATATCTTACTCTAGCTACTAGGGTAAGATATAGCTGGATAGCCAAACATAACAAAACAAGATACAACAATTCATATATAATAAAACAATATATTTAGTCACAAAATCACAAAATAATTTAGTAGATATTTACACATGAACACACGTAATGCAATGGACATGAACATCGTTGTGCGGTATGTATGTGGCGCCAGTAAAACACATCATTGTACATTGCCCTAAGGCACACAAAATAGTACCCTAAGAGAACATGTTGAGTCAAGTCATCACAACACTCTACATCACATGCATTATTTTTATCACTACTTGGCCAACATGCCCAAACTTTATCCCTGTTAAGCCTTAGCTTAGACTTCACATCACATGTTCCACACACAAGCATAATACATTGTATCTCACAAGAATCACATGTTCATAGTTCAAACACAACAATGTCCATAACATCATTTGATAACACCTTAAGATAAAAGCATTATAAAATCATCTAATCATATGTTAATACCTCAACCATAGTCATTAAAGGATCAATATCAAACTAAGCATTTAAATTAATAACTTAACCAGCCTCACAATGTTATTGATATCACACATTAATTCCTTAGACATCGCTATCATCAAAACACTTAAACTTGTTAATAATCAATTCACATTATAACTTAATCACAATTGTTCTCTCTCATATTTTCTCTCTCTTAAACATTGACACAAGTACCTCAAACCACTCATAAGATTAAATATTTAAATGGTAAAACAATTTACCATCACCACTTGCAACCTGTATTTCTATAGCTTAATCTTTTTATGACCTCTCATGGTTCAAAACACAATATTTAGAGTTATATACATGATATCAATTTAATCTTAATTTTTGTTAGAAGTCTAAGACAAGAATATATAACTTTCAAAAGTTGATTTTGCCATCTACTATTTTTTTAAAAATACAAAATAACATTTTAGTTTAAATTTGACAGCTTGATTTCCTCTCACTAATTTTGTCATAACTTGAGTTTTAAATATCATTTTTTGCTTATTTTAATGGCATTGTAAAGCTTACATCCAAGTCTACAATTCTTATAAAGGTCACAAAACCTAATTTTGATATTATCACACCGACGTGATATTTTTCACTTTCGACATAGAGATGACATAACCCTCTATGCAACACTTGCACTCGACGTGGATACGATCACGCCCAATGAGAAACCTACAAAATGTGCAAAAATCACACATTATTACACCAAAACTCTAAAACTTCAAGCTAATCAATAAAAAATATTATTAAAACTTAATAATACTTTATTATACCATTGATTACTCAAATCCAACACCAATTTCATTTATTCATGCAATTGACATCAATCTCCGCTTTGCTTTATAAATCAAGGATTTCCTACACGAACAATAAACACTCACTAATTCTCAACAATTCAAATTATATGCACAAAATTAATTACATATATAATTCAAACATCATATATAATGCACATAAGAAGAGTATGAAACATAAATTCTCAGTTTATAAATCAGAATTGAGATTTCTTCCTCACAACATACATGAACAAACAAGAAATTAGAGACCAATCTAACTACCCAACATATAATCACAACCAAAACGAGACTATTCACTTTTTCATACCTCAACAATTACTAGACAAAGATTGCAAAGCTCCAAGACGATCTCCTTCATGTTCTCCAAGTGTTTCTTTTTATTCCAAAATGAAAAAAGCGTAAACATAGAAAAACATAAACTGAATCCATCCCTCTGAAAATCTCTCTTTTAAAAACTTAACTCGCTTATCTTTTAATTAAAAAAATACATAATACATAATAAAAAATACATAATGCCTTATAACCTAACCATACTTCTCCAACAATATATATATATATATATATATATATATCAAAATATCATAAAAACATATATTTCTTCAATAAATATTATACAAAATAATTTTATAAATACTTATTATTTAATTAAAAATACTCATAATTATTAAAAATTTATAAATATTTATAACCTCATTTAATTAATTCAAACATCTTTTTAATAATTTTAAAAAACAGAAATATTACATAGTTATTCATAAAGCATACTCAAAATCTCATAGTTGAACCTCTAATTAAGTTGTTTGGTAACTTGTATTATATAAAAGCTAGGTGTAGGGCCAATAGATCAAAACCCTTGTAAAAAAATTGAAAAAATGAAGGAAGGAAAACACCAAACAGGTCAGAGAATCCTTAAGCTGAGGTCATAACGATTTAGTCTCCTCTCATTGCAATTGTCTCTTCCAATGAATCAACCCCACGAAAGCGACACTTTCAAGATGATTAACTTTGCTTTTGTTCTAATGTGTTTGACATTGCACTTAATACAAACTTTTTCACCTAAACACATGAAAGCTTAATAACATTCAAAGGACATCTATTGCTAGGGACTAGTAAAACATTAGAAGACAACATTATGGTTGAAGAAAATATGTTCTTCTATGCAACCATAGCCTAACCAAAGAAGAAACATATATTAGTCAATATTTTTTAATCATATTATTATATTATTGATCCACCTATGTTACTCATAATTTGTTGAAAATTTAGACTCATCACTTCTAAAGATGTCTTTTATTTTTTAATTATATTTTTTGCATCTTGAGATTTTAAATAAATAAACTAATCGTAGTTTCATCCGAACTAACAACTTTTTAATTTACATTATTTGAATTTAATTATTTTTTTGTTAGTGTGAGTGATGAAATTATATATAAAACGTTCATGTAGTACGTCATATTGGCCCGTTAGCTTATTCAATCACATAATTGTAAAGGTAAAAATATAATATATGAAAGCCAGGATGGCCTAATCTACTATTATTAAATTTCCTAGTCTGTTATGTACAGATAATTACATAAAAAATTTAGCATATGAAAACAATAGTATTTAGCTTATTCTTTAATTAAATTCCTATTTCATTATTGTGGTGGTTGTGGAGAAGATTTTTATGAGAATTATTATATATTTTGGTCCATTAAAATATGGCTTACATGATCGATGATAGCTACTCCTGCAACAAGCTATGCAATTTTTTTCGAGAGCATTATGAAATTGTATACGCATTATATGTTTCCCATATGTTTAGTGTATTAACACTAATTAATTCCTACATTGTTAATTTTCGTGACAGAGGGAAGGAAGGTATTTACAAATTGTTTTTTTTAAAGATATTAATATCTGAAATATTATGGTTTTCTCAATTTTATCCTTTAACTTATTAAGGAGTGTCAAAATTTTTGAGCTGATAAACATTTATTGAAATATCCGATTAAAAACATAACAAGAAATAAAATAAATTATTAGAGATCTCATGGTAGCTAATGAGACAGATATGTAGTATATATAAATAAAAATAATAATTTTTATTTTTGAAAGTTAAATTTTATAAAATGAAATTAAACTCAAATCTATTTTATTAAAATAAACCTTCAACACTACACGGAATACAAGGAGTCATTTTATTGTTAGACAATTAACCAAGTTATTATTATTTTTTACTCTTGTAAATCTTTAGGGGATGTTTGGTACATGTTTTTACATTTTTGAAAAATTTAATTTCTTATATTTGGTAGTTACTTTAAAAAAAAATAGATTCTCAAGAATATAGTTTTTCATAAATTATATTTATCTCACTTTGAGAGGATGATAATCTAACTTTCCTGAGTTAAAAAAAAAGTTTAATGCATATAAAAAGAATACAATATTTATAAAAAAATAGAAAATCTCTCTCTTTTTCTCTCTCTCACTCTTACTCCCTTTCTCTTCCTCTCTCCCTCTCTTTCTCTTTCTTTCTCTCTCTCCCCTTCTCTTCCTCTCTCTCTCTCCTTCTATTTTTCTTTCTCCCTCCTCTCTCTCTCACTCTCCCTTTCATATCTTTATTTTTCTTTCTTTCTTGTATTTCATTATTTCTCGACGTTGTCATTTTTAATAATATTATTAAAGTCTATTTTGTTTATATAATTTAATGGTATTTGTTAAAAAATTTTAATTACTTAATTAATTTATTTGAATGAAATGAAATATTTATTTTTATTCTTCTTAATTATTATGTAATATTTCTGTTTGTTTATTTTTTGTTGAATTCTATATTTAAATTTTAAATATAACTTTTCAACTTTTTAAAAAATAATTTAATGTCATATTTATAATAAGATTTGAGTAAATAAATATATCTAATAAATTTATTTTAGTAAAAATATATTTTTATAAAAAAATTATATTTTTAAGTATATATTAGTGTAATCAAACATAAAAATCTTTAATACACGAAAATCTTTGTACACCTGCCATTCAAGCTAAATGAGGATGTGAATCTAACCAAATATATTTTATCTATTTTCAAGAATATAATTTATAGGACTTATAATTCTCACATTCTTGAATACGAGAAAACCTCTTTCTTAGTAAATGTCTCCTTAAAGTTTCATCCTTTTAAAAAAATATCTTAATAAATTAAAGAAAAAAATATTTATAAATTGCCATTAATTTCAATCATAGACAATATATGAGACTTTGTAAGAAAAAAAGAATAATATATCGGGAAAACTTCTCCATTATAAAGACAGAGACATTTCAGCATTTAATTCATCCACTAACTAAAATCAACTACAAATATTTATAAGTTTAAATTACAAGTCCCATTTTCCTAATATATTGGGACACATCATGGATGGGTAAATATTAATAGCTAAACACCACAATTTAAACATAGGCACTCACCAATCACCATGACTTAAAACAATGGATTAATTTAATCTCCCCCATTGTAATTAACCATTTTCTTTCTTTTCTTGTTCTTATTTTTTTTTCCCCTTGGGGGAGAGGGAGGTCCCACATCAGTAATTGTTCCACATGTGGGGCATCCCCACTTCAGATAAGTAACTCTCTGAGCTTCCTTCTCCTAAGCTTGGTGACCCTTTTAGACTTTGGTTAAGAGGATTCCTATCCATCTTTGTGATTTGACTCAAAACAGCTTTCAACACTTTTCTGTCACAGGAAAAAGGGTCTAAGCAGTAACCCAGGTTTGGTGCTCCTCCATAGGCACTTACATGGTTGGCTGCAGGTAACTTGGGCTCCATGGTAGTGGCCATGTGGTTGAAAATGGGACTTGTTTGGTGGTTCTGAGAGAAAATGGAGAAGCAGGGCACTTGCTCAAACTCATCTGCATGGGTTTGGGTTTGTGTTTGGTCAAAACTTATGTATGAGTCCATCAATGCAGGAAGAGATGAAGAGCCTGTGTCCTCATAGCAGCTACCCATGCTAGGTTTGGCTGCAACTTCTCTGTTCTTGTAGAACACCCTACACAAAACCCAATCCTCCTGCATGTACACAAGGTCCAAATTTTCTAAGTCAAGTTCTTCAATTGGTGGATGAGGCACAAAAAGTTAAGAAAGTGAAAATAAAAACAATATTATTGATATTATAATTAATCTATAATATTAGTCTGTTTGAATATAAATTTAAAGGAAACACTTTTAAGTTTGTATATGAACAAATTGAATTAAGATTGAATGTTTGTTTTCAACAGAAGCATAAATCCCTTACACATGGAAGAATTTGCTGTTTTCATGTTCACAGACTTACATGTGTTTAATAAAAAATTCAAAGAGATCTTCTTAGGTCAGCTACCCAATATATATTTTGTAGTCACATTCTAGCCAATAATCAGGTGAGACAAATTTGATTTTGGCATAAAGCAAAAACATATTCCAAAAAGTCAAAAATCCTTAAATTTTTTTATTGCAAATCACTAGCTGACTCCCTGATTCATGCAAAGGAAGTAAAACAAGGCTAATGGCAAAAGTCTATATGTGAAATAATATTCTATATATATTTGACCATTCAAAGTGGTTAATGGGAAAACAAACCCACATTGCTTACTCATTTTGGTCCAATACATGTTGGAATAAAATGTTAACACAAGATAACATAAAATACTTTAAATGAAATGGTTTAGGAAACAGAAATTATATCATAAGTAAATAGTATATGAATAGGGAGTATAAATATACTTAAAAAAAGTTTATGATAAATTTGTTAACTTTTATAATAAATCAATAAAAAGTCATATTAATAATGATATTTAATTAATTGAACAACGAAAAAATTATTTAATATTATCAATGTATGTCTATTAAACTTTAAATATATAATTATAAATTGTTACAATAATCAGCTTAAAAATCATATGAATAATACCTTGGAAGAAGAAATTTTAGGAGGTCCATGTGGGCCTTCAATACGAAATTCATGCATGACCCACTCAGTTTTTCTCCCTTTGGGTGCCCTTCCTTGATAGAACACCAAAGTCTTTCTCATACCAACAAGGGTGCCCTTACGAAGGATAGGTCTGTCCTTCCCTGTGGCCTTCCAATACCCTGAAGCAGTGGCACGATTTGTGCGTAGCCCTGTTGCATACTTACGGTCTCTTTGTGTGTAGAAATACCATTCCTTCCCTCCCACACATGCTGTTTCTGCACAATCATTACAATTATATTAAGAATCTAGTGCTTCAATTATGCATAAATCATGACACATTACTATGTAAGTTGAAGATAAAAAGTGATTCAAATATATCATATATAGAAATTAAACAAGGGTGTTATTAGTTTTTTCTTTTTCTTTTGGTGAGGATATAATCTATTGATTTAAGTAAGATGAAAAATATAAGAGTATATATAACTCAATTGGTTGAGTAAAGTGAGTGAATTGTTGTAAATTTTCTTAATATTGAGTTTGATTCTCATAGATAAATAAAAAATAAAAAAATTCAAGAAGAACATGTGTACAGTTGAGTTCAATATGATGTGTTTTGTGTTAAAAGTCAACTATTTCTAGTTAAAAACAACTATTCATATTAACAATGTTACATTACTATGTAAGTTGAAGAGAAAAGTGATTCAACTATATTATATATTTAGAAAAGATGGGTGTTATTAATATTTTTTTTTGAGGTGATATATAATCTCTTGATTTCAGTAAGGTGAGGAACATGTGCAGTTGGGTCAATAAGGTATGTCTTGTGTTGAAGTCAACTATGTATAGTTAACAATAACTATTGGCATTAACAATGTTATCTTTTGTTTAATATAATCCTAAAATTAAATGCTCATGACTTTCTTTGCTTTGTCTTATTAGAAGAATTGAAATTTTGATTGTGCAAGAAGAGGGGAAAAAATTTACGGTTATACTCTATCAATTGTATTATATGGAATTTTATATTATTTTAGAAATGCACATATATAATAAGTAGAGTCAGAATACAGTTTAAGGAAAAATACAAATTCAAATAGTTCTTAATGGGAAAGAATTATTATTATTTGAATGCAAATTATTCTGGTTACTATTCGGATAGGCCCTATTTATAACTAGCCTAATTGTTCTTGTTTCTTCTGATTTGCCTATCCTTATCAATTTCTTTTCACATATGACATGCTTATATAAAATACAAAGCTAATTATGGTGGTTTCATAATCAAACAGTTGATATTATTTCCAAAATAATGTAAACTATGAATACATGGCCTAGCACACCAAAGCAATGTTGACCCATCATATCAGGCCCATAATTTTTTTTGTCCTGGTTGATAAAAAATTGTTAAAAAGCATCTCAATAATTATGCAGATACAACAACAAAAAGAATAAATATACAGATATTTTAAGTAAAATTTTAAAAATATTTAAAGAGAAAAACATTTAAAAATCAAGAATGAAAGAAATCATTTTCCTCCTTGTAGACAAAAAAATTATAGAAGGGATTAATATTGCTAATTCAGTAAAGTAATAGTGGCTTCAAATTATTATCCAACTAAGGAGAAAAAAATTATCAATAACAGAAGATAGTTAAAGAGAATATGTAAATTTAATTATCTTGCTTATGATAAGTCAAATCTCACTATATATTTGTTTTTTACATGAAAGTACTATATACATGGTGAGATCCAGCTAGAATAGTGATAAGGGTTGAGAGTTCAATCACTTTAACATGACATGTAAGGGAATGATCCATGTGTTGGTCTGTTATTGCAATAAAAATCAATATTTGCATTATTGTGGTGAAAATCACTATCAAACACTTTATAATAGGACAAAATTCAATGAGTCAATTTATTCAAAACTAAAAAAAAGCTGTGAAGGTGATATATATCTTGCATTAATCGTTAGATAATATTACAATATATATTTTCAATATATGATTTTTAGAGCTTCCCATTCAAAGTTTCCAACCTTACTATGTAGATCCCTTTCAATGAATATGCACTTGTGTGTAAATGTAAATGAGTTTAGAAGTGTTTTTGAAAGTTTATCTGTTAAAAAATATTTTTTATTTTCAGTGGAAAAATTCTCAAAAGTAAGTTTAACTTGTATCTAAACATGTTTTATATTCATAAATATTTCATAACCTTAATTATTATAAAGTATTAATGAAGAGATATTCATTTTTTATTAAAATAAAAAATTTAATAATATTTTCCAATATATGTATCATTATTATATGGAACAGGAGTACAACCACCTGTACCTATCTGTGTGAATGTGGCTGGGATTGGATTTAAAGTTATGACCCACATGAAAATGCAGACTGAAAATAATGATATATGTTTTCCAATTATTCCACAAGAATAAAATATTCAATTAACATAGATCATACATCATAGATGGAATTATTGATCCCAGAATGAAAGAATAGTAACGGTTTTGATCTTACTCTTTCATTAATTGGCATGCATAAAGAAGCAAAATCATGTAATATCATATCAGAATGAAAATTCTTCAAATTGGTGACAATCATACAATCATAAATAAGATTAGTCTGTTTCAGTAGGATGAAATACACGTTTGTTCATGGACTGATCAACATGCCATATATCTATAAGATATCAGTATTGTGGTATGACCTACCAAAAATGGAATTTAATTAATTTAAGTCACAAAGTTTCAGTTAATTTTGTGATGAAATGGTTTGCAACAAATCCAACAATGAAAGCTTGAAGGTGTTGTATGAAAGCACTCTCAAGTGCAAGAATAGATTGGGATCTATTTGAGCCATTGCAGATGCTATCATCACCTCACCCCACACAGTCAATTCACCCTTATCATACTTTAAAACAGGACAGAATTCAACACAAATGAAAGCAACAACTCATTTTGTTCTTTACCAACCAAAATAGCAAACTGAGATGGATCAAGCATGCTGCATGTCCATAATTAGTATCATGTGGGGTGCCTTTGTACATGTGAGATGAAGAAAAAAAAAACTATATCAATTACCCCCCACCCCCCAAAAAAAATTTAACATAATTTTTTCTATATGAGAAGGAAATTTAAACTATGAATTGATGAGATTAATTTCCAAAGATGTTGAACTCAAATGATCAAATATATAGAGAAAGAAACATGGCATGTATCATGTATGATATGATGCAATAATTATATATATAGTAGAGAATATAATGCATGATATGCACTACTCACCAGGAATATCCCATGGTTCACACTTGTTAAGGTCAACATCTATCATGAGAAGGGAATCATTGTGTGTCACCTTCTTCATCAAGTAATCACACACAAGTTCTTCATCTCTTGGATGGAACCTGAATCCTGGTGGAAGCTTTGCCTCTACCATGCTTATGTTGCTCATTTTTTTTTTCTTCTTTAGGTGGAGAAAGAGAAATAAAGAAGCTCTCAAAGTTGAAGTGAGAAATTTGAAAGGTATAATAAAGGAAAGAGGAGAAGAAAGGAGTATATATAAATGGGAGGGGGGATCACAAGTGGCTAAGTCAACATGTAATTGTTTGCAAAGAGGAAGGGTAGGATTGTCATTTCACTTGTCTATCTCCAGTGAATGATGACGTGCACAAACCAATCACTGCCAACTCCTTCATTTCTACCTCTGATTCTGGGGAACTTGCTTATTTTCATATGTTAAATTTTATGTGTATGAGATTAAGAGAAATATTAAAAAAGATATATAGTTTTATCAGTCTTTTTAAGTAGATATTTCTTGTTATTGAATGAAGTTTATTAAAGAGTAAAGAATGATCACGTTAGTCTCAAGATTATTTACTAATTAAGTTGTACTTAAAATTTGATACTTATTGATAAATTTCATTAGGATATTGAGTAGTTTGCATGAAATTCTAAATTTAAATTTTTGGGTCGTTAACAATAAACAATAATAATGTGTAAAAGACTTGAATACTTCTTGTCTCTTAAATTTGATTTAGTTTTTTATTTTTTCAAATTCAAACTAATTATTGCCATTATTAATTTTAATTATTTTAGTCCTTACCAGCGGACTAAATGAAAAAAAAAATAAAAATTTAAACCTAAATTTGAGGGGTCAAAAAATACTTAATTAAGTCCAAGTAAAAAAAAAAAAACCGTGTTGTTAATGAAAGTAAATCTTCTTATTTAGATGATAGATCACGTTAAAAACTTTGGCATATATAAATACCTCCCCCTTAGTATGTAGAGAGATAAACAATTTTGATTTTCAAAGACTTTATCATATATTTAAATTCAACACGATTACTTACTATTACACTTACATTAATTTCGGAAGCAGAAAATAAGATAATAATTACTTAATTAGAGAGTTGGCACATGAAGCAGCCAGTCTGAAATCAACAGAGAGGATGATGAGAGGTGACATGGTCATTTATTTATTTTAATTTTGTCCACTTGTGCATGAATCTCTCTCCTCTCTATTAATTTATCTATTTTATTATCTATTTTGTTATTTATCTTTGTCATGAATTAATACATTTTTGGACATATTCTTTGCCCAAAACTAGTAATATATAATCCCTCTCTCTCCCCACATTTACTTTTTAATTGTATTCATATTGGTTGTTCATAAGCTGGCATCCATGGGAATTTTCTTGAATGACCTTTATTTGGAACAAAACTATGAGTCATTATACATTAATTTTGTTTATGGGGTTATGGTGAATAATTTATACTAATGAAGACAAATTAAGGAAACACATAGCCTAAAGAGTATTTTGTGCTGAAATCTGATAGGAGGGCAGGGGAGTTAGGATGTTAGGTGATCAATTTCGTCATCATAGGATTAAAAAAATGGGTATAAACGAACTAATGGTTTTGTTAATATATGATTGAAATCATGCTGTTAAAATTCTTTAATCCAACTATTGCAAAATGTAATATAATTAGACATGTGATATTAGTGGGTAATAAAAAAAATTCTCTAATGAAATAGTTTTTTTTTTCATTTTCTAATAATTAATATTTTAGTAATTTTAAATTAGATGTCATTTTATCATTATGAGTTAACACAAATGATTTAAAGATTTTGTTCAAATGAGTGATGTTATACATTTCGAAAAAGGTGACCGGATCATCCTTGGAATAAATAATAAAGTAACATTTATAAAAAAAAATTCAAAATATAATATTCACTATCAATATGTCGATTAATTTTTTGGCCATTCTATTAGAAAAATTTAATATTTTTCTATTCAAAGTTATGTTATAAAGTGAGTTTGACATTTCTTACAATTATAGTGAATATACTTATTCAAGGAGATTCATTATCATTAAATATACGTTGATATTATTCACTAAAAAAGATTAGAAAATATTTATTGATATTTTTTAAACCGTCCTTTCTCTCTCTCTCGGGTACAAATCCTTCTTTCTCTCTAAACTAGTGTTCAATAACTTTTCTTTTTTAAGATATAAAGTATTAATGATATCTATTCCTAAAAAAGGATAAATTTGGCCCTATAATCATTTTCTTATTAAAATATTAAAGATAAAGATTAAAAAAAAATATATGAAACAATGGTATCAGCTAATGAAATAATAATCTGTTTATTAAATACATTTATGAAATAATTTACTTTTGGGTTCAATTCTCATCAATTAAAAAAACTATGAACTAATTAAAAAAGCTATTTGATAGTTGAAATGACCAGTGTGAAGTATACAACCTTTAATTTTAACCCTTGGTACATGTTAAATACCTCATTCTGCCACAAAAGGTTAGATGTTAAAAAAATGTAGTATATATTTTCTGAATAATTCCAAAAAACTGAGTTGTGACTTGTGAGTGCTACATTTATCGAACTTACTAGTGTAATGCAAAAAGTAGCATGAGTATAGTAACCCTGAAAGAAAAACCCTCACTCATGAAAAATCCAATCAAAAGTGACACCTTGAAATAATATTCACATGGATAACTACACCATGGTCAGCTAGTATAAGATTATGCTTAATCATCTATGAAATTCAAATTTTGAATATATAATTGTGTTAAATACTTAGAAGACATATTTTATTGTTTATAATGATTTAATCTAACTTGAATAAAAGGTACAAGTAATTTATATATATATAAAAAAAAAAAAAACTTGGGTGGATTCAAACCAAATGAAAAGTTGCTTCATATATATGGTCTCCTAGTGAAGGATCTTGATGAACATATCACAGGCCAGGTGGATACAGCCACACGTGAATTTGATTGTCAATGCAACTTATTTTGTGTGATCCTCCAAGTCAACTTAATTGACAATTTCCTGCTACCATGATTTCAAATTCAATCCATTAACAGGGGTAGAGGAGAAAATTGAATGTAGGTAATATAATTAAAGTCATCAAGAAAATAGGGATATTGATATGATGCAGTAATATAATAACAATGGTTGAAAAGTGGCACACATTCATGGGGTAGACCAAAACCGTGTGAGACATCACAGTCATATAAAAACAACCAATAGTGGAGATTAGGGAATTTGATGACAACGTTTGGCAGACGAGGCAATTGGTGGAAATTTTGACTATTTCATTATTTATTTTTTTCTGGTTAGGTAAATACAGGTTCCCCATTTTTAGGTATTGAATTTCGGTGAGAGGGGTCACGTGTGTGCCTTTAATGTTCCCATGGAAAGGGGGTGGCGGCCAGTGTGCCCTTGTTGAAGAAGAAGAGAAAAAGGGTAACATCAAACCCTTCATTGCAATGGTGATCATGTTTTCCCCTTCGATTCAACAAATCATTTTCCAAGTATCATAATTAACAAGCTTTTAAATTCTCATTGCAATCTTTATTACCCAAGAAAATTACATGTGAAAAACAATCCATGTGATTGTAATTGTAATTACAAAGATTTCAAAAAATCTTGGTGTTGTAACTCACTTTAAAAATCTTGGAAACTAATGTGTAGTTTGGCATTCGTACATGCATTTTACTAGTGCACATGTTTTATTAGACTTGGCCTATTAATTGTATGAAGTGAAACTTCATTTGCCAAAAAAAAAATTCAAGAAAGTTGGCTAGGTGAGTTGTTAAGGGGAAGAAAATATTTGGATAGAAATTTGAAGTTTAAATCGTGTACATAATCGTTGTACTATAAAGTAAAAAGATATAAATAAGTGTGTTTAGAATAACATTGGACCAATTGAAAAATTATGATAATCTTAAAACTACTCTTTTATTGATAAAAAGATTATAGTAGATTATTGTGACTTTTAAGTCCCTACTATAGAGTGAAACGTGACTTAGTATTGCTAAGAAACATTATTTTTTTATATGAATTTTAGTAAGTTCAAGATATTAGTTTTTGACTTTGAGTTAGAAGATATCATTATATGGTCTAGTTAATCTTCATAATACATTAATTCATTTTTTTTAATTACGAAAAGTAATTAATTACGTATCGCAAAAAAAATAGCTTAAAATTACTTGTGTAATGAAAAATCATAGTGTCATTGTGACTTTTAGACCCTCACCAACCCAAACACTATAACACCATAGAAAAATACTAATTTCTTAAATGAATTCTGGTAGAACTTCATTTTCCAAAAAAATATTCAATAATGCTAGTTTGATAATTATTGTACTATAAAGTGAAAAAAATGAAAATAAGTGTATTTAGAATAATAGTGGATCATGTTGAAGAACTCATTATAGTCTTAAAACTACTCTAAAAATCATGTTGGATCATTGTGACTTTTAAGTCTTCACTATCAATCCAAACACAATATAGTATAGTTAGACATATTAATCTTTAATTTTTAGTCGAGAGATATCATTATATGATCTAGTGAATCTCCAAATAAACATATTTTTCAATTTATAAAAAAAAAAAAAAAGTTAATGACATGTTACCTATAGATTGTTCGGAATCATATGATTCCAATCATAATAATTTCTCATCAATGGGGAATACTGTGGTTTAAAAAAAAAAAAACTAGGCCTAATTTTCTAACCCTGGTTAAATGCACATTAGATTCTTTTACAATAATTTTGATCATACTAACCCATTACTAAATCATAGGCTACACAAGAAACCAAACCATTGTCTCTTAGGTGACACTACTGCCCACTGTGCAGGCAAACTCAACATCAATGTATCTGCCCTAATTATTCCAGACCTACCATTTGCATGCGAGCATTATCAAGATTTCAGGATGGGATGAGGAACAGTGTTTTCTAGTTTTGTCAAAGAAGTAGGCTATGGCTTCATCATATTAGAGTACATTAATGTGCGCATGTGTATATTATGTAATCCATAATAAAATTTCATATCAGAAATATGAAACTTGTTCAACGTTTTGATATTTTTGGTAAAAGACTGCCACACCACTAGTAGTTAAAGTTAACACTCAAAAGTCACACACATACATACAAGCCTCTCTTATACACTTGGATATTTGTCGGGAACCGTGCACTAACTGAGGCAGCACAAATCAAACTTACCAATATATAATCAAATAATAAAGTGGGTTAATTTTCCATGTTAGAGAAAGAACAGAAGTGACATGAATGAGTTAATTTGAGCCAATACGCCTCTTGTTTCAGTGTATTGTGACTGAGGTCTAACTCTGAACAAAGTTCAGATATGTAAGTGTGTTGGCCAATCATAAACTGGCATCCAATACAAAGCATGGTGCTTTTGGGCCAAAAGAATCTTGGTTTATGCAAAGGTCTAGATTCTGGAATGTGACAGAGCCAACAGTGCGGGACAAACTAAACTCCCATAATAATGATTTCATTTCAAAGTAATCATGAGTCAATGCAGTATTTGTGTAGCCAACCATGAACAATATTCAATATTTTTTTCCTGTCAAAATTATTGAAATTTCCCTTTCTGTGTATTTGGTAACAGATGTGTGTCCAAATTCCAAATTTGGAGAACAACGGTGCACATTTATCTGGAGAATGATAAGAACATGGTCATGTGCCCAAATCTAATCCCTTTATTTTTTTTTTCCCTGGTGTTTTGAAAAGTCCAATGCACCACTTAGTGCACCTCTAAACTTAATCCATTGTCTATAACATGCAAATATGGTTACTTTCCATTCAAAGCTTCATGATAAAAATTTGACTAATTCATGAGAGTGATGTTGTGCCTATCTGAAACCACCAAGGAGCCTTTCTAGTGTTCACAGCATTATGTGCATCTCTTATATACATACAGACACATACTGTAGTTTCAGTCATTCTTCTTTTTGTTGATAGCAACCTCTCATGTCATTTTGCATCGAGATGATAGGAAAAACATTCACCAAAAGCCTAAAACGACAAGCTCAGATCACGTGCACCCCTTGTGGCACTGCCATCTGTAACAAAGCCGCCCACAATTGGAAAGGAAACAAGGGTTAGTTCATCAATTGCTAGACGTTTTAAACTTTAAACTTGGTCTTCAATTGCCTTTCCAACATTACTACCACTATTGACAAAGAAACCACTTATCACCCCTGCAAATACGGCTTTTGATAGAGAAATCACACTATAAACCAAAAGGGGTTATATATTAGTATTGCCTAATTGGTTTGGATCACATAAATAAGAACTTACGTGGCTAATCAGCACGCGCGGTGCACACGAACAAATTTGACTGCAGCACCTTGATGAGACAACTGTTGGATAGGATGAGTGAACATAAATTGAACAAGGATGAACAGGTCAAAGTGTATAGGATCAAGACTATGTTCAGATTACTAGAAGAGGATATACTAAAAGAAAATTAAATTTAATAATTTAATATTTCAGTGTCCAAATTGAAAAAATTAAATATATTTCATTCCAGGGCATTCCATTCCACTAAATCTCTTTCTATCAATTCAATATAGTATTGATACTCTGGTATGTAACGGATATATATGTAATTATAACATAGCCACCTATGGATTTATCCATTTCACCCATCAACTATCAACATCAGAAGAAGAGATCAGGATTCAACGGAATATACCTCGTGGCATATAGCAGCCCAACCAGAATGTACAAAAAGCTCTAAGCCACTCGTTCACGTCTTATTTGTATTTTTCCCAGAAATTGTTATTGAACATATAATCCCCTCCTCATTATTATTACATGACAAAATTGCTGATGGTTCCACTTTAATCGTGAAATATTTAGGTAAAGAATTTTTCTCTTTCTCTTTCTCTTTGAAGAGCAGACCCATTACTTCTTTTATTAACAATCAGACTTGAACAATCGTTATCACAATTAGAACAAAACAGTGTAGTCCTAGCTTCAACTTTCAAATATTCGGATCCCACTGCACCTCTCAAGTATGCTGCATTTAATGTTTCAGACGAGCTAGTAAAAGTTGCAGAATAATCAGTCTAGTTCATCACTTAAAAGGGTGAAAATTAATACAAGAACTTCATAGTTAAGGAACCATTGAACTGTTTATTAACATCAGATGAGCATCAGAAGAAAGTGGAAAAGTGAAAAGATGGCAGAACAACATTCCTTGGATTAAAGAACAAAGCAGGCATAATTTAAGAAACCTTTAGAAAAGTTGGACGAGACATTGAAAAAAATCAAACTAGAAGCCAAATGTTTACCAATGTTATCGCATCACACACAATGTTTATTTAACTGAATTACAGAATGCTTTAAAACCTTCAAGTAGCTAATTTGAAATCTAAAAAGTTCGATATCAAAAAGAAAAGAAAAATAAAGTGCAATTATATAACAGGAAAAACTAATAGAAGCTACGAGCTAACTTGTCCAACTCAAATTATCACAGAAGTACAGAATCCAATTCCACGTCCAACCTAACTTAGCACAAAAGGTCACAAGTTTTATTGTTGTTTCTGACTATAACACCAGTTGAGGCCCCTAACTCTTTGACTTTTGCATGGGAACATAGAGGGATGTTTAACTTAATAAGCTAGATATTCCTATCCATTTAAACAGGGTTAAAATGCGTCTAACAGCAACACAGTGATTTTCTAAAAACTTGAATAGCATGAAGATCAATGTTCATAAGTTAAAATTGAAAAAAGTACAGAAAATTATGATCAACAGCACAACTGTAGCTTAAATTAATAATTTGAAATGAAGGGGAAATCAGATAGATAAAATTTAATACAATCTGGTTGCACAGTAGTGAAGTACGAAGCAGAAAACCATGGATGTTGCAATCTTAAAGGAGAAAAAAAAATACACGGTTGAAAGGAGGATCATGACTGGCAAGAAGAAAACAGTTTGAATGTGTGCTCATGAATATTAACCTATTTGATTTACAAATGACCTTAGTATACTAGAGATAAAAATAACACATTTTCAGCAGATATTAATAAAAAATAAATCTAGGTCAGTAAATATTCCTAGTACACATTGATCCATATCTATTACAATTTTCGGCAGATATTATTCAAAAATACTTCTTTGTATATACTTAAGAATAATAAGAACTTGCAAGAATTCAGCCTAACACTCCATACCCCAAAGAAAACAGACATAACAGAAACACAGTAGCACATGTCCTAGTAGCTTAAAATTATTACAAATAACATGCACTCAAAATGACTATCGGTTTGCATCTTTAATATAATCTCCGGCTAGCTACTCAGGCCATTACAGATGATTAAACAATATACCAAGACATGCTGCATATATGCACTTGATATCATTGTTTCCAAGACGGCATAGATAGATGACTAATGCATCCATTGAATGACATCCAGAGTTTTGAACCCAAGAGTGATTTTAAACTCATAAGCGCTTCTACTCCTATTACTCTGTAAAATCAATACCTGTTTAATTATTGGTGCCCTGATGTACAGGTAAATAGATAGTTTCATAATCGACATTTTCCATTAACCTTAGCATTCAAGAAATGAAACGCTCAATATCTTGAAAGAAAACAAAGATATGAAATTTTAGATATATTGCTAGAATACATCAGAAAAAACAGAAAAAATTATGCAGTGCGCGAGAATAGGAAACCATCCTCAACCCACTGAAAGTATTAATTTGTTCTCAGAATTCTCCTATCAATTTCTAAGCTGATCTCCAACATGCAATACCTAGATAATTAAAGTATAATAAATTCATGGGGATGCAACATTTTGATTTCACCCATTTAAGAACCATTCTAAACCTCAAGTATAGCAAAATTTAAATTAGTAAATGACAAAATCGAACCGACATAAACAAAAATCCGCCCGAGGACTCGATGCAGAAAACCACACAGTATTGCACAGAGCCTCATCCAGCAGCAAATTCTAACATTAAACAATAATGAACAACAACATTCAACTTAAGCAGCCTTCTTACTTCTCTTAACCTTCACACTTTTCTTAGCCTTCACCTCCACATCCCCTCTCTTCTTCTTCACCCCTGAATTCTCATCCTTAACAGCCAAACCCTCCTTAACCCCCTTCCCACCAGACAATCCCTTCTTCTTTTTCTCCTTAGTAGCACTAGAATCTTTCTTCTTCAACCGCTTAACACCACTGGAATCACTCGCAACCCCTTTCTCCGTCTTCTTATCCACCATTTCATCATCACTATCATCACCAGCCTCCTCATCCTTAACAACCAAATCTTCCTTAACCCCCTTCTCACCAGACAATCCCTTCTTCTTCTTCTCCTTAGTGGCACTAGACACTTTCTTCTTCAACCGCTTACCGCCACTCGCATCACTCGCAACCCCTTTCTTCCTCTTCTTATCCACCACTTCATCATCACTACCATCACCATTCTCAATCTTCTCCTCACCAACACTATCATCCATATACCTAACTTCATGAATCCTCCCCTTCTTCTTCTCACGAACATCACCATCCTTCCCCTTCTTCCTCTTCTTCTCCTTGGCCCCAACCTCTGCCTCATCCTCAACGCTAACCCCCTCAATCTTCAACTTCACATCGGGCACAACCTGGTACACAGGCAACGCCACACTCTCCAGCAGCTTCAAATGCAGCGACCTAACATTCGCCCACTTCTTCGGCACAACCTCCACAACTCCCTCAACCGCCGCCACAACATTCTCCACAATCTCATCCCTCTCCATCCTCACCTTCGCAACCCTAACCACACTACACGTGCCGGTCCGCATGAACAGCATGGCGGAGGAGCACGCCTTCTCCACCTGCTCCTTCCAGTTTTTCTTGCTCAAATCCACCGGCACGGGAATCTTCCTCTTCTTGAAGAAGTGCTTCCCGAGAAGCCGCGGAAGCAACGGAACGATGCTCTTCTCGGCGAAGAAGAGGTCGTAGGAGTCGCAGAGCTTGCGCTTGGCCTCGAAGGGGCGGTAATCGGAGGCGAGCTTCGAGAGCTTGAGGACCTTGGCGACGGGAATGGAGTCGGCCTGGATCTTGGCCTGGACCTGGGCCTTCGTCACGCGGGCCTTGTTGGGCCTGTCGTCGAGGATCAGGCACTGCTCCGAGAACGGAGAGATTAGCGAGTGCGGGAGAGGGACCTTGTGAGGGTTCACGCGAGAGTTCGACGGAATCCTCTTCATCGTCAGGATTAGGTACACGAATTCCTCGTCCTCGTCGAAGAGCTTGGGTTTTTGAGTCTCCGATTGGGAGCGACGCCATTTCAGGAGAGCGTCGACGGCTTTCGCCACCGTCTCGGTGCTTACCCTCCCGGAAGCCATGATAGAGGGTTAGGGTTTAAGGTTTAGATGAATAAGAAACGAGTGAGAAGAAGAAGAAAGAAGATTAGGGTTTAGTTCGTCAGAGTTGGGCTGTTAGGGGTTTAGAGTTTTGGGCCGGCCCATATATCAATGATTCTGGGCTTTCGGTGTCGTTGCACTATTCTTGGCCCAAATCTAATCGCCATAAACACAGCAAAAGTAGATATATAATGGATCTCGTTTCTCTACATTCTATCAATAAGTTATAAAGTTTTGTAGATTGAAAAAATATTTAATTAATTTTTTTTCTTATATTCTTATGAACTTTACCTTTTAATCTTTATAATTAATAACATTTCATTTTAATCTTTATATATGTTTTTTTTTCCTTTTAGTCTTCATAATTTTTATAAATGTTATCTTTTAATTCCTATAGTTATAAATGATAGGAATAAAAAAAAATAGTATGTATTAGGACTAAAATTGAATATTTATAACTATATAATATAAAAATTTAAAGGTAAAATTTATAAAATTATAATGACTAAAATAGTAATTAAACTTTAAAAAAATGTGATTGGAAGAAAATATCTTATTAAAAATAATCGATCAAAATTTCATTGAAGATTCCTAATTGATAAAATTATAAAAATAAATTTATGGTAATAGTCCAAAGTTACATAACTAGAAAAATTTACATTTAATATAAAAAATGCATAATGAAACTTGTGATAATTAGATATGGAAAATACTTAATTCTTTATTTTTCTTATAAAATTAAATATAGAAAAATGTTATGAAAAATAATAAATTTTTAAATTGATTAAAGAATTAATTTATCAAAATATGAAACATGTAAAATATGTGTTCTGATTATTTTATTATAGAATGTTTCAATATGAAAAATACACTAAAAAAGACTTAGACGTTATCTATGTTTGAAACATTCAAAATATGTGTGCAATTTTTCTTTATCCTAAAATGAAGATTTTATAACTAATTGTTATGTCTTTATATACCCTAAGAATCTCAAGATTTTGTTAGAAATTTACTCGTTATTGAATATCGTATTTTTATACTTAATCATTATCATTAATGACTAGATTTTGTATTAAATATAAGTCTCAAGTCAAGTAAATGTCGATTTATTTTACTAATAGGGGTATGAGTGATAGGGTACTCAACTAGGTATTTGATCAGGTTCACTTGACAAAAGGTCAAGAAAGATACAATATAATTTGTGTCTTTTTTATGTGAACAATGATGATGATGAAATTTGAAAACATGAACTCAAGTAAATTATTCTACTCCTTCATCGTGAACATAATTTTAGTATCTTCTTAATTATTTGTAGTCTACTAAGTGTTAAAATATTTAGATGTGTTAAAATGAGTTCAAACTAATAGGTTAATTTACATAATCGTTCAATTAGTTGAATTATACATTTTTTTACTCTACAACTCATACAGTCTACCAACATTATATAATAAATAATGAGTTCAATTAAAAAAATAACTATTTTTGGTGGTTAAAAAAATGCTAGATATACGTGACAAGACACTATGAATCGCAAATGTTTTACTTTATATGATAACATTCACTTCTATTATTTGATTTTAAGAGTTGTCAATATGTTATGAGAGTTTATGATATATCTTTATTTTATTTAAAAAAAATTATAATAATTAGATATTTGGGTGCATATAAATATTTAATGACCTATTTTACATTTATAATTAAAGAGACGAGAATACTTTCAAACCTCATCAAAAAGTAATCTCTTTCATAACCTTAACTATAAGGTTATACCTTTTAACATAATTTTTTTAATTAAAATTTAATAAAATCAATCCTAATTCAAGATGGATTGAAATTCCTTTTTATCTTTTAATCCTATTGCTTTTTTTTTTCATTTATTTTTGTGCGCATAGCTTGATATTTTGTTCCTTTTTTTTTCACTTTAATATGATTAAGTAAGCCGTGCAGTGCAAGAAATCAAGTGCAGATGAAAGGGACAAATGAGTGTACGACAGTAATGTGTTCCTGGTGCAACCAGAGATTAAATGCAACTTTGACCATTTGAGTGAGTAAATGAAAATTAAATGCAACGGACAAGTGGTGACAGAAATCAATGAAATCGCTGCATTATTAAATCTATTTCATTGGAGTTGAATTTTATTTTTTTTTTGAAAAAAACTTTATTTTGATACTTAACACCAGAGTATATCTCTTTGATTCTGTAACCAAAAAACAAAATGAATATCATTTCGCTTCAAGAAATATAGTTTTGACAAATAAATAACCTAAACTTGTGAGGAGGAATATAAAATAAGGAAAAATCTTTAGATTTTTTACATTAGAAATGAAAATACTACCATACTGTGTGCTTTATTTAGGTGCCTTTATGTGACGAGAAATGAGAAGAATAAAAAAAAAATGGGTGTTTTTGTTAAAAATATAGTTAGTATATAATTCAAATATGAAGTTGAAATTGTATTATCATAAATATAGATGAACAATACATCCATATAACGACCAAATTTTTCTCCAAAGAAATAAAAATCTAAAACGCTTGTGAAATCAGAAGCACAAGATTAAAACATGAAGTCCAATAAGGTACACATTCATCTGGGAAATGATTAGAAAAAAGTCCCTTTGTGACTGTGTGTCCAAATCCAACGGTTCTATTCAATACCCTGAAGTTTTGAAGAGTCTTGTTCACTTGGTGCACTTTTAATTGAAAATACAGTTAAGTTTCCAATCAAAGAATTTTTTTCTGAAAATTTTGTCTAATTCATGACAGTGATCTTGTGTTTATCTGAAACCACATATGAGTCTTCTAGTCTTCTCAACATTATGCAGACAACATATTAGTCATTATTTTTCTTGATGGCAACCTTTCATAACATTTTTTCGCAGAATCACCATCAATAAAGAACATCTACCCAACAAAGGTCACAAACTCACAATACCCTGCTCACAAGTAACTAAAAGTAAAAAAATGACATTTTTTTTTTCTGTGGCATGTCTTTTTTTTTTTTTTTTTTTTTTTTTTTTTTTTTTTGTTGCATATGATTGCAAAGTAGTGTGAGAGTTGGTCACCCAACAAACCAATTAAAATAGTTATATTGATTGATTGTAATTAATAATGTCATAATTTGAAGTTTTATTTCAAAAATATCTATAAAGTTAAATAGTATAGGTGATAATTATATTTAATGACACAACTCAAAAGTTAAAAGAATATTTCTTTTTCAACCAATGAACATAACTTATAATATTAGTTGTCCAATAAATGCATTTACTTTCATGAAAATTGAGTAGAAGATTGAAAACTCATGATAAATTAAGGATATAAAAGATAATTACAAATTAATACATTTAAAAATAAACACATTTTTTATAATTAGAATCAAAATACAATCCATTTATTTTTTATATATAAAAATGGAGGTAGTATTCAATTTCCAATTTGTTGGCACTCACAACTAACAAATGAGCTATCTTATCCTAACAAATTTTTTTTTTGCATACTTAGTCTAATATTCAAATCTTTAATCACATACTTAAAGCATTAGAATTCAGTGTTACTCAGATGAATCACTTGTTTATACGTGCACGCCTTATGGACCAAACACTTGAAGAAGGTTAAAAATTGCCACATCCGAAAGGCATAAAAGGTCGAGTTCATCAATAGCTAGAGGTTTAAATTAGGTGCTATGCTAAAACATAGCTTCGTCACTCTTGGTCATCAATTGCCTTTACAACATAATCACTATTTGAGTATGACAAAAATAAGGCTATCACTTGTCAACCCTGCAAGTACGACTTCTTCTAAGAGAAAAATCATACCCAATAAATCAAATACATATTTTCCAATTCGTTTGGAGTGCTTAATCACAGCCAGGTACGGGTGTGGTTTATCAACAAGATACAGGACAGGTAGAAAAGGAATATACTGCAGTTCATATAGCAACCCGAACCAGAATATACAAATTATACTAAGCTACTTGTTCACGTCTTGTACATGTTTTGTACTCACAGATGAAGTTAAATACGCAGAGTCTCGTCACTGTTACGTGACAAAATTGCTGGTTTTTCCTGTTAGTCTTGAAATAACTTGTTCTGATTTTGTTATATTTGACTAAATTTCTCTCTTTGAAGATTATATCCACTATTTCATTTGCAACAGACATTCTAGGACAATCAATGTTACACGAAAGTATGGTGTGTGCAAAACAGTCGATTATACTTTAAGTATTAATCCAAACCAAACCATATTTAAAAAATTCATACAATATAAATCTGTTTTACAGCTAACGTTGGTTAAAACCTGGTTATCTATATTTAAACTAGTTTTGAACCAAAATCAATTTAGAACCTGCTTTGAAAAGTAAAAAATAACTCAAAAACGTAACATTAGTTAAAATTGTAGAATAATTAATCTTGGTCATCACTTACAAGAATAAAAATAACACAAGAACGTAACAATAAGCGCACCATCATTTAGCGAACCATAAGAGTGTCGAACAACTTATTAAACAACACATGATCACCAAAATAGATTGAAACAGAAAAAAGAAAACAGATGCTATTTCATATACCATACCCTTTTTTTACAAAGAATATTACTTTCTAGCGAGCATAAAATGTATCGAATTTATCGACTTCAACTATCAACTATCCAATCAAATCTGATTAGTAAACAAGAGATCAGGTAGAAAAAGGAATATACGGCTGGGCATATAACAAGCTGATCTAGTATAAAATACAGGGAAAGAAAATACAACAGTACAAAAGAGTTTGGACTGAACTATCAGTTTCTCAAATGACCTAACACTTTCATCTCTACATCTATCACACATTTTCAGCACATACTACTGAAAATTACTTCCAGGTTCCAGCAATGTATATTGAGTATACTTAAAAAACCCATGCTCACAGGAAAGACAACGAAAAGAATGATAACATACAAAATAAGCTTAATAATCAACACAAATAACACGGGCTTTATTCTACAAGCTTGCATTATTTACGTGAATTGCCCAGCAACCAACTCAGGACATTACATATGATT